GCCCCCGAAATTATCGCTGGGTCCCCCCACATCTTTCCCAGCACCGCTTGCAAAAAGCGTTCTGTGAAAGTCACATCCCCAAGCGGCGACTTCTTTTGCAAAGGGTTTGGCGTTAAGGGAGGAATGGAAAAAGCCAAAAGCAAACCCCCCTGGCGAGGGCAGCGTTGCCAGCCCCGGCTGCCACTACCCCTGGGGTCCCTCCTGTGCCAGGCACAGCGCTGCAGGGGGTCGGGAGATGGGGCAGGATGGGGACGCGGGGTCTGCCGAACCCGGAGCACGGCCCCCGGCACCTCCTGGCCTCAAGCCTCAAAAACAACCCCTCAATTCACAGCCGGCTCAGTGACAAGCGTTTCCTGCAACGGCACAGCCTGAGCACCCACCCGCTGTCAGGGGCGCCCGGGGAGAGGCTGACAATGAGGTCTCCAAAGCAGAGACACTGTCTCCGCAGCACGGCACCGTTCTGCAGCAGAAACCGGTGAGAAGCCGTCCACCCCGTGAGCCAGAGCCCTGGGGAGCAGCTGGGGAAGGGGTGATGGCAGCGTGGTCCCTCCTGCCACACCCTTATCGCCCACAGCGAAGGGCCGGGAGCCGCATCTGGAGGTGCAGGCAGGTGCCTGGGTGCATGCAACAAAAGGAAAAAAACATCAGCTCTCACCTTCACCTCCTTTTATTCCTCCTCAAAGGCCTGCTCCCCACATTTTCCACTGTGGTTGACCCCACCATCCTTAGGGGCAGGGCACCGGGTGCCCCCAAACACCCTGTGCCCAATGGGGACGGTGGCATTTCCCATGCCACCGTGGCACGGCGTTGCACCACGGCTCAGCACCGCCTGCCCCGAGGGAGCTCAGCCCCGGCAGCAGCTCTGCAGTCCCCGAAGCACTTTGGGAGGGATCCGTGAGCCCCACCAGGTCTAGATGCACCCATGGGTGCCTGCAAGGCTCCCGTCCGGGCTCGGAGCCAAGCAGTCTGTCGAGCTCAGCAGAGGGAGAACCGTCGGGAGTTGATGTTCATGCGGGTGACGCCGATGTGCTTGAGTGGCGTGGAGAGCAGGAAGGCGGCCTTGGGTGGGATGTTGCAGAGCAGGTCCGAGTCTTCCTCGCAGCCCTTGAGGCCGAAGGTAGCATCGTCCAGCATCTCCTTGTGCTGGTGGCAGGCCTGCTCCACCTTCAGCTGGTGCAGCTGCGCCCGCAGGCACATCAGCTGCTGTGCCAGGCGCTGGTCCGCAGCCTGCATCTCCCGCTGCAC